AGACGGTTACCGTGAAAAGCCCTGTATAAGGTGAATAGTAGCAAGGTGTTCTTAGATTCGCTTAAATAACAACTCGCTTTAACATCCAATTATAATGCAAGTACGTTTTAACTGTACACTCGTTACCTACTATTTGCAATAGTAAATTCGGTAATTTTTGTGTCAATTTTGCGCTGTTTAATTCGACCAAATATTATCGACGTTGTTTAATGGGTGTTTATTCTTCGAAAACGGACTGTTTGGTCAATGTATAGGCACAGGCATTGGGCAAATACGGGGCCGTCGGAGCGCTGGTTCTAAAATAAATTATTGTTATTACCGCGGTAATGACAATGGTAAATAGTAGTGTAAATATATACATAATAACTGTCAAATAGTGGATTACAGTGAATGGGATTTTGAGAAGTAGCAATTAAAATGCGATGGTGATGTATCGGTTGTACCGTTAGACGTGTTAATTTTTTTTAGTGTTGCGGTGGAGAAATTCTAGAAATTATTATGTAACATTTACCAAAAGGGAGTTGAAACAAATAGGTTAATTATCTAATTGAATTTTGCCGGTAACGGTTATACCACCAACTAGATAATACATACAGTGCATTTCTTTAATGCACTTTTATTTTTTGAACGGATCAACTAAGAAAATTGAAATTTGGGATAATGAAACTAACGCATGATTACTATATTTTGAAGTAAAATTGACAGATGAAAATTTCAATATGGCGACTGGACGCCATCTTGCGAAATAAATTTAAATGGAAATGGGGTCTTGTGATACATCATTTTGAAGCTCCTGACAAATACTCTACAACCCTGGAATATAAACTCAATATCCGCACCTGCTACAAAATGGCGGACATTTAATAATACATTAAAGAAATGCACTGTATAGCAGGTAGGTATTTTTAGTTCTTTTTATCGGAGAGCCTTGCACTTGGTATTTCGATTCGGTGCGGCTCATTAAATTTACACGGCGATTTCTAGATGCATTGTTAGAGGCGCACGTACTCTCTGGAGGCGTAAGAAATGCGGTAATGCAGTTCCTTCATATACGATTCCGGGGAAGTTCGAGTACCGACAGGACCGGATTTTTTAAATTTTTTCTGAACGTAGCGAAGCCGATCCTGCGTATTAGTATATTAGATATTAATTTCGACGGCACGCGCCCGTCCATATTTTCTTTGGGCTCTTCACAATACAACCCTATTGTTTACTTTTAATAACGATTCCTTTTCGAAACGTTTGTTAACTAACAGACGATTAACCACAACGGATAAGTTCGGGTAAGTAATTTTACGAACGGTACATTTTGCGCCTTTTCGCGTTCCCTCAAAACGCTAAATAACAAATAAACTATTATAACTTTCGTAAAATTAAACATTCAATTAATATTCATAAATGTAACTAAATACTCACGATACAAAAGGCCATTAGCATAAGTTAATTGCGTTTTCGACGTAAACTCCAAACGAACAGGGCTATTCGTAATATACAGGGTGTTCCTAAACATCGTGTATATCCGAAAGGGGTGATTCCTTGGCTTATTTTATGACTAAAAGTTCATATAAACGGGGGTCCGCAAACGCTTTTTTATCGATCTACAGGGTGTTGAAATTTCAAGATTTTTTTTGTTTCTTTTTTAGAGCTTCTGCAGTTTTTGAGTTATTTAGCTCAAATTAGGTATAGGATATAGGGTATAATTTGAGTAGGAGTGGGTCACTTTCAACATTTATTATACTGTTATTTAATAATTATTATTTAGGGTTTTTGTTTTGTAAAATAAGGTAGACTGGGGCAAATCGGTTGTAAAATTTGAATAGTTCAAATTAAATCCTAAAATGTGGCTTTATTTTTTCTCTTATTAGAAATGCTGATACCACATTAAATTCACAACTTCCTAAACTAAAGAATCGAGGTATTAAAAAGTTTTTTTGAAAAAGGAAGAAAACGAATTTACATATTTTTTTAAAATGTTGACAATATGTTTATTTATTTATTTCAAAAAATAACAGAACTACAAAATAATAAAGAAAAAATAAGAAACAAACCCTGTCTAATGCACAAAAGAACTATAAAAATAATAATAAACATTAACATAATAGGTAAAAATATTACATTTACCCCATTTTTACATTTGCCCCAGTCTACCTTACATAAATCATTTGTACAGAAAATCGTTTTTAATTTTTTTCTCGATAACGCTCACAGAAACGAAAAAAGTTTAAAAATAAAAAAGTTTCTAAACAAAACGGACAATTAATTTTGTATTTTAGAATCAACCAGCGGCGCACAGCAAAAAAGTTCGGGGGGAAAAAAAGGGTACATGACCCCTGAAAAAGTATCACCCTGTAGAATTCAACAATCATTTGATATACCCACTAAAGTGTGCCCTATAAATCAATCTAGATACAAAATTTGAGCTAAATATCTCAAAAAGTGCAGAAGCTACAAAGAAAAAACCAATAAAAAATTGAAATTTCAACACCCTGTAGATCGGTAACGAACCGTTTGCGGACCCACGTTTATATGAACTTTTAGTCATAAAATAAGCCAAAGAATCACCTTGTATACCGGGTGTTCGTATGCTTACTGTCTTCTGTACAATTTCGAAAATCATTCACCCTGTACATCTCACAAGAAAGAAAATTAAACTAGTAGATATTTAATATTTCTAAATTACGCAAATATTATTCCACACGAGCTCTTACAGAGCTCTAATCGATTAATTATTCGGCCATTTCGCCACCTTTGCCAGCGCATCGGCTATTTTATTAGACATTTCGAGCGAACACATAATACAGGTGTAGCGGAAAAGCGAGATTATATACAAAAATATTCACGTTTAAAGCGCGCAAGGTGCACGCGACCCCGCCGATAATTTCCACCGTTTCATCCGCCGAATCGCCGATATGAATTATATCAACGCGGAAAAATTATAACGAGCAATTAGTTCGCGGATTAAACGCGAGCATTCCGCGGATATTAAAGAAGCTATTTAATAGAGAAGAGGCGATCTTCTATCTGGACAAATCTATCGGTGTCCGGTATTCGTTACACACCCAGTAGATGTGGCCGAATACTGTTTACGTTAGAGGCCGGGCAAGGGAAATTTCAGGAATGCTAAAAATTAACACAACCGCATTTTTTACTACTTAAAGTTGCAGGAGTATTGTTTATAATGTAGATATATAGCACAAATTTGATTCTGGGTTTTTTGATTTTGGGGTAGGAACAAGTAAAGGGTGCTAACATATTCCAGTCATTGGGGTCGATTCTGTTTGCAAATAGCAATATGGTTATTGGCTGTTTTGTAAAGATATTGTTATGTTAGCAATATCCATAGAAATAACCTATTCTGTTCGTGTAATTTAAACAATATGATCTGTCATTCGTAAAGATATCTTGTTATAAATCTTGCTATTTGAACAATGAACAATTTTTGTACTTGTTATTTAATAGCAATATGGCTAAACCGATCTTTTTTCATTACTATATGAGCTAAGAATTTACATTTTTTTTGCAAATACGAGATACAAGTAACCCCTTTGATTTGCTAAATGCAAAATTTATAAAACATAAATAAGGCTACAGCTTTAAATTTAATTTAACAGTTGTCAAATTAAAAAATATAAAAAAAACCTAAAAAAATATAATAATTATTTTTATCATACATTTGTGAACTAGCGCAATTTGTAGATGAAAAAGTGTTGTATCTCTTCGGAATGGTTCTTCCAGAACTTCTGACAACTGTTGAATTAAATTTAAAGCTGTAGCATTATTTAAGTTTTATAAATTATTCATTTAGCAAATTAAAACGGTTACTTGTATCTCGTATTTGCAAAAAATGTAAACTCTTAGCTCATATAGCAATGAAAAAAAAAATGACATTTTTCAAATAGCAAGGTTTATACAAGATATCTTTACTAATGACAGATCATATATTGTTTAAATTACACGAACAGAATAGGTTATTTCTTAGGACATTGCTAACATAACAATATCTTTACAAAATAGCCAATAACCATATTGCTATTTACAAACAGAATCGACCCGAATAACATGGTTATCATAGCAATATTCATAACAAGATCTGAACAGAATCGACCTGATTATCATCGGAACTTCGCACCGAATCAATCGCTCTTTTGCCTTGTCGTTTCTCAAAGTGTTTTCTCTCTACTTTTATCTCGTCGTATTTCGGACCTCTGGTGGCGAGTTAAGAGTATTGTTTATAATGTAGATATATACACCACAAATTTGATTCCAAAGGTTTTTTTTTGATTTAGGGGAGGGAACAAGTAAAGGGTGCTAACATATTCCGGAACTTTGAACCGAATTAATCGCTCTTTTGCCTCGTCGTTTCTCAAAGTGTTTTCTCTCTACTTTTATCTCGTCGTATTTCGGACCTCTGGTGGCGAGTTAAGAGTATTTTTATAATGTAGATATACGCCACAAATTTGATTCCAAAGGTTTTTTTTGATTTAGGGTAGGAACAAGTAAAGGGTTCTAACATATTCCGGAACTTCGCACCGAATTAATCGCATGCATGTCGTTTCTCAAAGTGTTTTCTCTCTACTTTTATCTCGACTTATTTCGGACATTTGTTGGCGAGTTAAAGGGGTTTTAAACGGGCCCGAAACCGGTCCTGGCGTACTATCGGCGGTCGGATCGGAACAATCGACTGTCGGCACGCGACCCGAGTTGTGCAGGTCAGCCCCGTCGGACTCATCCCCTCGTCCTTTCGTCGGTTTTTTTTTTATTTTCACGAACTCTTCCTCTTCCTATTCATCAGCTTCGCGCGCGCCGGCACTTCCGCCTGGCACGCGCTACCGGCAACAACCCTTCTTGGAGAATTTATCTTCGAAATTCTCTTCTTTTCGTATTTTTTTCGCGTTTTTCGTGGCGATTTCGACGCGACTCGGTGTCGGTTATGAAGTCGAAAATGCGGTTAGTGGATTTTCGTAAACGGACGAATTGATTAAGGCGAAAGTGAGTTCACCATGGACGTGGCGATGAAGCCCTTTTACCAGCGCTACCAGCCGACGTGGCCGGAGGCGGGCGCCCACCACCACCACCACCACCAGCCGATCGGCGGGTACTACGAGCGTCTCGACGGCCGGCGTCCCGACGGCTGCGGATCGAGGTCGCGCGAAGCCGATGATATTTACGACGCCAGCACGTACGACAGCTTCGCCTCGTCGACCGGCGATTTCATCGATCTGGGCTCGTTAACCGAGGAGGAGAAGGCCCATTACGGCAATTTCAATTTTTTCACGTTGAAACGCGGCGAGTTCGACGACGATAACGAACTGCCGCTGAAGAGGACGACGGTCGTCCTTAATAGAGATAGGAAGAGCGCCGGCGGTAAGCACGTTATTATATTTCTTCCTTTCTTTTTTTTTCCTGTACCTTAGATTTATATACTAGTTAGTTATGTAATTCGCTTGTGACGTCACGAACTAATATATTGAATGTACTATATGCATAATTTTGAAGCCAATATCATATTATACAGGGTGTCCCAATGAAATGTAGCCCATTTAATGAGCTTATAATTTTTAAACGCCTAATCATAAAAACATGCGGTTTTCTCAAATATATGTTTTATTTTATTATTTAAGTTTTGTTACAGTGATACAGAAATTATGCATTACCAATACAGGGTGTTTTATTAAAATCTTCTCTTTTAAATTCACATTAGCCATTTTTTTTAATGGAACACCCCGTATATATAGAGGTATTTTGAAAGATATGCTCTTCTACTTTTCAAAAATGTGTTATTTGTAGATGTTATTCTACAAAAGAAGTCCTATTTCATAAAATTGGGTTAATGTGAATTTAAAAGAGGGGATTTTTATGGTACACTCTGTATAGGCGATACAAAATTTTTGTGTCACTGTAACAAAAAGTGTTATCAAAATAAAATATATCTGCGAAAACTGCATGTTTTTATGATTAGGCGTTTAAAAAATATTAGCTCACTAAAGGGGCTACTTTTCATTGGGACATCCTGTATTATATATGTCGAGGTTTTGTTCCTGCAGAACCTTTTCCATTCACTCCTATTCTTGGCTTTCTCTTTGGCATCTCTCCATGTAATTCCTTGCTCCTTAAGTAACTCCCCTTACTTCTTGGTTTCGGTTTTTCTTTGGTCTTCCAATTCTTCTTTTTTCATCCCATCCTGCTTCCCATATACCTGCCTCACTGGGTTGTTTTCCTCCATTCTGGTTAAATGACCCCACCGTCTTAATTGATTTCCTCGGATTCTGCTTATTATCGATTCCACTTTTATAGTCTTTTCCTTATTTCTATATTTGTTATTCTGTCTCCCATGGTGATGCCTTCTATTCTTCTCAAAATCTTCATTTCCGGTAAGCATTTGGTAAGCAACACATTATTATACAGGGTGATTCGGATTTCCCGTTGTTAATGAATCACCCTGTATTTCTTCCTTTTTTTTTCCTGTACCTTAGATTGATATAGTATAGTTAGTTGTATAATTCGCTTGTGACGTCACGAACTAATATATTGAATGTACTATATGCATAATTTTGAAGCCAATATCATTTACACATAATAAAGAGTAGGTTTATTGAGGCTCTATTTATACATTTCAATACAAGTTTGAAAGTAATATCTTGAAATCTAAGAGTGCGCAATTTTTACTGCACATATAGGGTGTTAATTAATTGAATGCCGATACTTCAGAATGTGAATATTTGATTGATTTTAAGAAGAAAAGTTTATATCAGTGTATGTCCTAAACCTCTTAGTTTTCGAGCTATAGTGTTAAAATTTCAGAAAAAAAATGACTTTTCTATCATAAATTTCTTATTACTCCAGATATTTTTATGAAATTTCGGATGTGGACGTCACTGATAATAGTAGAAAATTAATTTTTATTCTTTTTATTTTTTACGGTTTTTATTTTTTTACGCGAAAATGGTGCGTCGTACGAAAATAAGTCTTCTGACCGAATTTGCTACAAAATAAATGAGGATTTTAAGAAAAAAATTGGTTTTTAGAACATATTCAGTTCAAACCCCGTACGGAGGTCACTGGTAAAAATTAAAAAAAAATCTTATGCCTCAAAAAATGCTCCTTAATAATTAAAAAGTGTATATAAAATTTCTTAAAAATAACTGGAGTAATAAGAAAATTATAATAGAAAAGTTACTGTTTTCTAAAATTATAACACCCTGTAAACTAAGAGGTTTAGGACATACATTGACATAAACTTTTCTTCATAAAATCATCCAAATATTCACATCCTGAAGTATCGCCATTCAATTAATTAACACCCTGTATAAAGAATCGAGGCACTTCGAAAGCGCTGTTGCCGAATATTTATAGTTTTAATTGATTTCGGGAAAAGTTAAAGATTCAATCAAAAATGAAATTGATTCCTCCGAAACGATTGAAAACGACCAACTCAAACCGAAAACATAACCTCACACTTCTTAATTTGACAACATTTTTAACAAGCCTACCGTACTTACGCGAGCGTAAAAACCTTCTCGGGCTCCGCAGGGAGGCGGAGGGCGTCGACGAGGGAGCGCCCGACGTCGCCGAGCGTGATGAAGAAGCGCCGGTTGGCGGCGAACGCGCGGGAGCGGCGCCGGATGAACGGGCTGAACGAGGCGTTCGACCGGCTGCGGGAGGTGGTGCCGAGCGTCGACGCGGAGCACAAGCTGAGCAAATTCGAGACGTTGCAGATGGCGCAAACGTACATATCCGCCTTGAGGGAGCTGCTGGAGAGGAGCGGCGTCGATAGGTAACGAATCCTGTCGGCCGGGAGGCGGTTTTTTTAGCACTAGGGTCTTACATTCGGATCTGGAAACTCGAATTCTTGTGGCCTTTGATACTAGCGCCATCTGTCGGGTACGAGTTTCTTGGCCTGTTATATTATACGACCGTGATTTTTCTACTATTGTACATTTGCCATCTGTATGGCATCTGTCAGTTTGACATCCAAGGCTAACGTTATATCTAGGAAATGTCGATGTAGTTGATAGAAATAATTGTAATATACTTAGATGGGCATGGATGAAAATATTTCCTTTAGGACACATGTGTACTACACCTTGCTTCATTTCAGATAGAAATATTTGGTCATTACTATATGTGTTGAACATAAATAGATTCTTCTTCTTTTCTTTGTGGCTTGCATACTAGTGCATTTAGCCAGCACATTTTTTAGATTACTAAAGTGACAGTTGTCAGAGTGAAAAGTTGCAATGACACAAATGTCACTTTTTCTTTAATAAGTGTCTAATGGAAGTTGTCTTTATCGCACATATGCAGGGTGTTTTAGAATCATGGAGAGATTATAATATAAAAGTAAACCGGATTTTTCAAACAATAGAAGAAAATAAACTTTAAACTCGAAAGGAATATTAACTCACCAATTTTGTTGTTGAAAGCTGCTTAATTGTTCCAAAACATCACTATAACGCACAAGAACTAACTAAACTAAGAAGAACACTATAAGAATTAACTAAACTACGAACACTAAGAACTGAAACAATCAAATAAATCACTAAAGTCTAATCACAAAAATCTATTTAACCCCGACTTTATAATCAAAACAATACAGTTCGCGCTAGAAAAGAATCGGCACTGATAACATTTCTCGAAAGCTAGAGAGCGGAGGGGGAAATTTGTGCTTGCTGATAAAATACACCGAATCTGTTTTTTTAGTTAAAATTCCGATCAGCTGACTATTCAGGCCAGGGTTGTATTCGCTCTTTGCATTAATTTCTAATGAAATTATAAATTTATTAGAATAATGAAATCTGCGAATCGGTCTCAAATTATGCAAACTACCGCCCCTAGAATTTAATGCCATAAGTTCGAGAACACCCTGTATAACCTATATTGCAATCTAAAATGAAGCAACCTGTATATAGTTAAATGCAAATTTGTTTGCAATATGGTCAATTCTACGAGTCGAACGAAGAAAGATTATTAAAATAACAGTGAATAGAATGAGAAAGTTGAAAATCAGCCCAGAATATCACTTTCTTTCTTTTTCCTTTACGTGACTAATGGAAGTTATCTTTGTTACACATCATATTGCGTACAGATTTGCACTTAACTACACGTTAGATAATGTGAATGCGCCTTTAATTTATACTTACTTACCAAAGAATAAAATTTCGTTTCCTTATTTTATTATAATCGAACAGAAAGTTAATTCTAGTCTTACTATTTGTATTCTCGAATACTTCACGATAAGTATACTCTAATTATACAAATTCACTCGCATAGTTGTTTATACGGCACTACTTTTGCGATAAATTTACATTATTTATTGTACACTTAAATTAATAAAAAAAATGAAGTAAATTTCAGTATAACTTTATTTCACAAAAAGAAACATCCAGCCAATGTTAGAGTCTCGAAAAAAATGTATATTTACGCGACTTTCAGCCCGTGTACATACAAAAAGAAAAACAAAACACGAAAATAATCGATAAAACCAAATTTCAAGATTTCCGAATAAAAAAATTCCGCAATTTAGGCCAATAAATATAAAACAGTTCAATCAAAAAGGAAAGTTCATCTCTCACCCTTAGCCTGTTTTGTGTATATCATATAAACATTTCGAATAAAAAAAAACCACTCTGAATTTACTTACATAGCGAATTAAAATTTCCTTTTTGATCCATATACGCAAGTTCTCGCAACCTGACCTAAAGTACGTTCCTCCTTTTAAACTAGCATTCGCCCATTTAGCGATCATTGCAAAAAAATAAATAATAAAAAAAAATCAACTTAAACGCGCGCTTATTATATACAAACACACGCGCCCAGATCTTCTTACGAAACGACCCCTCTTCGCTTGGTTTCTCTTACGTTACGATGCAATATAACAACGGATTATAACGATTATCGGTGACATGTCAGTCTATGGTTTCCTCGGACTTGCTCGAAGTATCCAAATAGATTTTTAAGGCTCGCTCGCCGCCCGCCGAGTACGATGACAGGTAAAATTTGCGCATTCGCGTGTTCTCCTTTTGCATCAACTCCTTGTGCTCCTCGGTCGTCAGTTCCTTCGAACTCTCCTGAGAATCTCTACGGCGATTTACAATTAATTCCGAGCAGTTCAATGGAGAGGAGTACGACTTTTTTTTTTAAATAAAACTACGTGTTCTTATGAAATCATTTTAGATCGTATACAGATTGTTAGATTTAGCGCGGAGCAAAAATTGAGAGAGACGGTGTAATGGAGCGTACACGTATGTCTAAGAAAGAGAGAATATTAGAAGAAGCCACTCACGACGTAGCGACTGGAAGGGAGGCTCGATCGATACTCGATCGAAACAAGCGATTTTTAATTCTGTTTTTGTTTCGCTAATGAATATCGTATTGGCTATCCCGTAGCGAGATTGCTCCGCGTTAGATCTAACACTCTGTATACTAACGTGGATAAGTCGACAGTGGTAAAATCTGTTGCCAACATATTCAGGACGTACTTTTATGACCCGTCCTTGTTTGACACTCGCTAGTTTCTAACGGTGCGTCTTTGTCACGGAGCCTTTGACAATTTTGACGTATATAGTTAGCGCCAAATTTAAATATTTATGTTTCAAAACTATTTTAAGATGCTTGTTGTTTACCTCAGTGTTATGTATAAACCGAAAACACTAAACACAAACCAATCCAATAATCAAAAATCCAAATATAATAATAATACGACGCCATGACAGTTATGAAGCAGATGTCAAATGTCATAGTGTCAATGCCAGTGCCAGAAAAGGACGCATCAACATTGCCAAATGTCTAATAGCTATTTCTTATTTCTACTTTTCTTTTACTACAAAAAAGTAATCGAGCAGCTGTTTTGTACAATAATTAGTTAATTAAAATGTATACGCATTTAAATAGTATTACTGCATTTCAAACCAATTATTTTAGATAATAAATAGAAATATTTTTATCGTACATCGTACATATTAAAAGAGTGAAAAATTACAACAAATGTGTGAGTGTGGCAACAAGGGCGAGTTTCCTAATGTATCTGTTGTATACTAATAAATACGTTCAGATTTTTAAAGCGCATGCTCAATTGGCAGACCAAAACAAAGATAAATCTATGCTGAATTCCATAGAGCAAAAAAAGAGAGTATAATTTAGGCATGTTGTAGATGTTGGCAACAGAAACGTAAATGTAATTCTTATGGCATTGATGCATCCACGTTAGTGTATATGATCTAAGGAAGTCATTGATGAAATTTTTAATTTTAAGGCCGCAATTAATTTTTCAAGTTTGAAATACGTCACAAGCCATTAACCAATCACATTAAGAATTGGTGGTTTGGGTTTGGGAATTGGTGGTTTGTGAAAATTCTTCATTGTATTCTAAAAAAGCGTTAATTTTTGGCCCAATAAACTTAAAAAAAAAGAAACTACAATAACCTAACTCTACATATGTTGTCTGTCATTAGTGTCATTTGATTTTACATTTCACTTTTATTCGTTTCTTCTACTCTTCCGAATGTTCCGTTCGAATTCTTATGCCGTTCGTTCTGTGATTGGTTAGTGACGTTGTAAAACGTCATCTGTCAAAATTTTAAATTTAAAACAGCCATATTTCCTAAAATATTGAATATTTTCAGCAACTGAAAACTAATTCGAGTTCTAATCGCTCATTTCTAATCATATATCCGGTTAAAAAACCGTACAACTCACATCGTACTCCTCTCCATTAGCATCGCAAATTTACCTGTAGAAGAAAACGCTGCCGTTTTCCGCGTTTAAGGGACACACATCGAAATTCAACAGCATCGAATTCCACACGACGTGCGTTTCCATATCCAGTACGTGTATGTTACAAGGCAGGGGAGTTTTCACGTTGGCCACCACCAAATTATCCACCGGTATGTTCGACAACTCAGACAGTTTCTTCTTAAGCTCGGGCATCGTCAGATTATCGACTACAACCTATCAACAACAAATAAACTATTTGAAGAGTCAGGGGAATAACGATGAAAGTCCACATTTAACAAAAAATAAAGTATTCAAGGCAAAACGATGCTTATAGCTTCCAGTTTGTTATGTTACAGTATAAGGGGAAACAAAGTTGACAGTCCAAAGTTATAACCGAAATAAAATTAGATGTACTTTCTTTCTTAGTTTTTTTTTTTAACTTTGCTAGAATTTTTTGGTTTTCATTGTTCTAGGGAATTACAATTTTTTTTTCGGGTAGTAATACCGTAGAATTACCTACTAGTACTTTTTTATTCAGTGAATAGTTTTTACGCTAAATATAGAATGGTTTCAAACTTAATTTTATCGATTTATCGATTTTATGTTTGATGGACTATCATCGTTATTCCCCCTGGCTCTTCATTTACTTTGAAGTAAATGGTAGAGACAAAAACTAAGAGAAAAGGGTTATTATAAAACCTTATATAAAGATTTAAAACCATAAAACCTTTTGCTTTAAAGCGACAGCAAGGTCCTCGAAGCAAAACCTCTCTTCCTTCTCTTTTTTTACGCTTATAGCTTGAAGCGATTCCTTGATTTTTTGAAGCAAAAGGTTGTACTTCTTTATACAGGGTGAGTCGTGAGGAATCGTACATACTTTAACAGTGTATAGAGGCACTTAAGGTGAATATATATCATACGATCATTAAAAATTCCAACCGCCTCTTCTCTATAAGGAGATACAGGGTGATTTATGAATTTTGACGAAATTTTCTTGTGTTTATATATTTATGGTGGTTAGTTCGATTTGGTTCATTTTTTGGTAAAAGTATACATTTTGAACCAGCAAAACACTGCGTTATTCAGAATTAAAAAATTTCAGGACCGTCTTCAAAAAAATGAGGTAAATTATTTAAAAATTAATATTTCACCCTGTATACACTTTTTGCAAATTTTTATTTGGTCATTGTAGAAGGTATAAGTAACTCGTAAAGCCTGACATTCGGAAATTTTTGCCACACTTTTATTAAATGGTCAATTTACATTCAACTATTAAGAAAAATTACACATTTAGTATAATCGAATATTTTACATTAAAATAATATTTTCTATCGTACAAATTTTAATGAAAATTAATAATAAGGACTAATTACATATTCCTTTCTATAAAAAAGTCATAAAATTACAAAAAAAATAATTCAATAATATTCTCTAATGAATTATTTTTTCTGTATGTTAAATTAGATACAATGATCGAAATAGTCTATGACAAATTAACCCTTTCTTTGTTTTTGCATTTTGACATTTGGTTTCATTCTTTCGTCAATAATTAAGAATTGAATCGTTGTGTTTAACTAATTGATACACTTATTAAAAATGTTTATTAAAAAATTCCATTCCAATATTCAATTGCTGAATATGCTGATATTATTTTTGTTTACGGATTTTGCAATGGCAAATGGATTTCATTTTGAACATGTTTAATAATGTAGAATAGATTCTTTATGGAATTATTGTGTTTTTTGTTAGTTTAAATTTTTTATTGAAACTCGGTTTTATAATTTTATTTCTGTAGGACTTTTATTACATTTTTTTTGAGAAATCAACTTCTCTCTCTTTGAGAAGTCTCAAAAATTGAAAAATAAGTATGTATCTGCATTTTGCGTTCGTAATTTTGCCTTAATACTTTACTGTAGCAAATGTTGCACCAAAACAATGATTAAAACAAAAAAAAAAGCACCCAAGCTTGCATTGCAGTAAATGGAAACAATTTTGAACATCTTGTATAAGTAATTGAACTGTTAAACTATTATTTTATTATCTCGATTTCTGTAAGACTTTTATTACATTTTTTTGGGAAATTAACTTCTCTCGTAACAGTGCATATGTGGTTAAAATTTGTTGGATTAGTTGTGAAACACACTGTATAAACAAAAGAAAATTTCGTCAAAATTCATAAATCACCCTGTACCTTCTTAGAGAAGAGGCATATGAAACTTTTAATGGTCGTATGATATTCACCTTAAGTGCCTCTATACACTGTTAAACTATGTACGATTCCTCACGACTTACACTGTATAAATACGGCTTAATATTCTACGCTTTTGTATAAACTAACATCACTCACTTCTTGAAACGGTTTGAGCGTCAACGTAGAGGGACACCATTGCCTGACGAAGAACACGTATTGATCGCGAGACGTCACCGGCTCAACGTCGGGCAACTCCTGCAGGAACACATCGATGCTCGACGACACCACCATGATGTCCTTGTCGAATTTCTGATCGTCCAGGTACACGCGCATGGGCACCTTCCAGTTCTTCTTCCGCAACCGGCACTTGTGATAGGGTATGTCGAGCATGTGTTGCTTCTTCGCCTGCACGAGGATCTCCTTTTTCACCGCGCCCACCGTCTGGCCTCTGGTCACGATGTGTTCGAACAGGAACTTGTTCAAATCCATCGCGTCGAGCTTCAGATGGTACACGTTGCATTTCAGCTCGTCCTTGCGCAACACCCGGCCCAATTTCACCGTTAACCTACGGACAATTTATTACAATATTTTATTAATTATATTGACGTCCGTCAAGCTGGCAAAGTGATGTGAGCAGAATGAGAAAACAACGTATGGGGAATTTTTTGCTATATTTTCGATTTTTTTGCTAATTATTTGCTAATGATTTGCTACATTTTTGATTTTTTTGCTCAAGTAGTTTTCCGGAATTTGATATACACATGCTAGCTTTCAGGTTCAAAATTACATGCCAGCTCCAAATTCGTTTAGAACCTTCGTAGAACCCTCCTTTAATCATTTAGAACTGTCTAAAACCGTTTAGAACGTTCCAGAATCATTTGGAGCTGTTTAGAACTCTCCATAGTCATTTATAACGCTCCAAATTCGTTTAGAACCTTCGTAAAACCCTCCTTTAATCATTTAGAACTGTCTAAAACCGTTTAGAACGTTCCAGAATCATTTGGAGCTGTTTAGAACTCTCCATAGTCATTTATAACGCTCCAAATTCGTTTAGAACCTTCGTAAAACCCTCCTTTAATCATTTAGAACTGTCTAAAACCGTTTAGAACGTTCCAGAATCATTTGGAGCTGTTTAGAACTCTCCATAGTCATTTATAACGCTCCAAATTCGTTTAGAACCTTCGTAAAACCCTCCTTTAATCATTTAGAACTGTCTAAAACCGTTTAGAACGTTCCAGAATGATTTGGAGCTGTTTAGAACCTGTTTAGCTTGACGTCAAGCTGACATGTAATTTTGAACCTGAAAGCTAGGATGTGTATATCAAATTCCGGAAAACTACTTGAGCAAAAAAATCAAAAATATAGCAAATAATGAGCAAAAAATTCCCCATATGTTGTTGTTTCATTCTGCTCATATCACTTTTCCAGCTTGACAGACGTATTATATCGGTTTAGCGTAGTACCGTTCCCCGTCTCGAGCCGACCTCAACGTATCGGACAAACAGCTCCACTCCTCGTCGGAATTCGCGTAGTGTTTGTAGATTTTAAAGTACTCCGATGGTATCCTCAAAACGGTTTCCAAATTCTTTTTAAACTTCTCCAACGTCATCCGTTTATCCGCTAATATCTTACAGAATCTACAAAAAAAAAATACACCGAACCATCAACGGCCTGTTACTCTACAGCTGCGTACAGACTTGAACATTTTGCCGAACAATGAATAGAGCAACGAACACTGAACACTAGTTTGGACGGGACTGCGAACAAGTTTGCAAACAATCCTGCGAATTTTGAGCGAATATGTGTCAATGAATATGTTTCGTTCGTTGTAATTCTCTACCCATTTGCCGTTTTGTTCGTTGTTCGGCAAAACGTTCAAGTCTGTACGAAGCTTAAGAGCGCTTCGTGTACCTGACGGCGTCGTTTTCCCAATTGGACGGATCCTTGATCCTCGATTCGCTGGTTAATTTGAAGTAGTAATGCGGCGCGTCGCCGTCGGGCTGCGTCTCGACGTCGTCCCAGTTCATCTCCTCGAACGGATTGCCCATGATGTCGTGACTGTAGCTGTCTTCGCGCGGATCGCCCGGCGAGGCCATGTGTTGATCGGCCGGCGAGGCCGGGCTGCTCGACAACATACCGATGCAATCGCCTCGAATAAAACGAACACAAAATGAGCGAGTCACATACACCGTTGGAAAATTATTCGCGCATAATAGGGAAATCAATGTTAAATTCTTAGCCGGCTGAAATTCAGTCTACCAGTGTACATTTCAATAGAACGTCGCGATCAATTCTAATAAATTTAATTGTTCTACTGGACTTCACACCGCGCTTTGGCTTGGTTAGATTAAAAATCAAATAATTTCGACGGTTTCGACACTTCGACAGTATCAAAACGGGTTCGGATGGGTGAACGTCGAGTCGATTATAAAGAAATGAGAATTTTTAAACGATAATTTATTGAAAAAATATCACTAATATTAAAATAGAATTTTGTAGATATGTCTTTTTGCCACAATGGCTTGGAAAAGAAAGTAAATTCTAAGAAAATAATAAAAAGGAAACTCCAAAAATAAACTTAAAGATTATTTTAAAACAGAAAATAAAAGAACTCTAAAAAATAGTCCACCGCTTTCTGCTAAACTATAGCCAAACCTGTCATACAAATGTCATCCCATATTACTGAGCTAAGGTATAATTCTAGCTGAAAAATGAATTATTTTTCCCTTATTTCAACAAAATTTGTTGCTCTTTCAAAACTGTACCTATCGATACACACATTTTTTGAAATATCCCCAAAAAACCTATTAAATGTAGTTTCTAAATAATTTTGTACCTCATACCTAACACAAATAACTTTGTACCTCTACAAATCGCGGCGTGCGATCCAGTAGAATAATTAAATTTATTAGAATTCATCGCGACGTTCTATTGAAATGTATACTGGTAGACTGGATTTCAGGCGGCTAAGAATTTAACATTGATTTCCCTATTATGCGAAATTAAATTTCCAACGGTGTATATCACTAATACTATAAAGCTGTAGGGCCCAAATTCGTAGGGTCATTCCCGAGATTTTTTTTACGGCCGCCGTTCGTCTTTTTCGACCGGGAAAAGTATCGAATCCTATGGAAACGCACACGCCCGATCGAAATATCGACGATTCGACTCGATAAAATATTATCTTCAGTGTCAAATGAGCGAAATAAACGTTTTTTTTTTGGTTTTTCGCACTTTTATCGAATCGAGTTCGTTCGATTTGCTTCAAAATCTCCCAAAAGATTCTCCATCGGTTCTCTCGACTTTCGTATACAGCCGTTTTCCAGGAAAAAATCGTTTTGGGAAAATATCGTGGAAAATAGTTTTCGAGGGTTTTCTAAAAATCGAAATAACTCGTAAACGGTAAGATTTAGGAACATTTTCCATACTTGCAAAATAATTGAAAATTCGTTTTTCAATTCAACAAAAGAGACCGGGTGTTTTTCCAATCTGTACTTTTTGAGTTTTTTCGAAAAAACCGTTTTTAAATTGTCTTCAAGTTTGTAACGCGAAAACTCGGAAACTATCATCTTTTAGAAAATTTTGAAAGCGAAAATTTATAGATACGACATTTTTCTATATACCAAATTTTTTTCCCATTTTCTTAATTATTATTTATCAAATTATAAAGATTTTTCGAAATCGATGCATATTTTACGGCTGTCGTCGAACCGGAAGTGAAAACTTTCAGATCTACGATGACGTACGATCATTCCCGAATGAAAGACAAAATGGATGACTTTTACGTTTCCATGGATACGTTGACATTTAATTTGATGTACAGGATGTTTTTTCATTAAGGAAATCGGAAAAATTAATATACGGGGTAGTTTTTTTCTCTTAGGTAAAAAATTAAATTGAAATATAGTACAGGGTGACTCGTATTTAAGGAAATGTTAATTACATAAACCGAGAGAGCGAAGCGAGCGAGGATCCGGCTATACAACTGTCTTTGCGTAGAACGCCGATAGGCGTTCGAGCTGCGGGTCTGTGCGGCAGAGCCCATCGTTATTTACAGCAATTTAGTCGAGCTCGCGAAGCGAGCGAGACCTTAGTTACATAACAGACTTTGCGTAGGAGGCCGTCAGGCCTCCGAGCTGCGGGTCTATGCGGTAGAGCCCGTCGTTTTCCACAGCGATTTAGTCGCGCAGCGAGCGAGACCTTGGTTATTTAAAAAATTGATATACGGGGTGTGATTAATTTCTCAACGAAAATTCAATCGCACCGAGCTCGCGAAGCTAACGAGGATCCGGCTAGCAAACTGTCTTGCGGCGCCACCGTGAGAAAGGGGGCTGCGCCCCCTTTCCGAGCGTTTAACGAGTTGGTTAATAGATTGTATGTATAGAGGTTTACTTGGCGTTTCTCCGACCAAAGTGCGATCGCTGTCGCTGAGGCTGCTCTCCTCGCTGTTGCTCTGATCGCCCGAACCGTCGGTTTGGGCGCCCGGTTGCGGCGATTGGCGCAGATTCGGGGAATTGGTGCACCGGTCGCCGCTGTCCAATTCCAATTTGTCCAAGTTTTGGTTCAAATCCAACGACGGTATCGACATGGATTCCAACGTGGCTGGAAATCATACTCTAAGAACGTGCTTTTTTTGTTTTTCGTAGAATGTATCCAACTCACCGATATCCGTATCCGGTAGAAATAGCGTTAAACTGATCACGTAGCCGAATTGTTCGATTAACCGTTTGAATTTCGAAAACATAAACGTATTGTCGGGATGTTCGTCTAATGCGTTCGAAACGTACAGTTTGTAGTTGTTGCAATTGGCGTCGAACTTCACTATGGCATCGTCGTTATCCAAATACTGATAAAAAATCAATCGGTTAACGAATAGAATCGGGCTGACAAAACCGAAAAATTTACCTTCGGCTCGTTGCTGTACATTTCCATGACGATTTTCACGGTATCCGGATCCATGTTAAGTAAAAGGCCGATTTTATCTTTCAGTTGCTTCACGGTATCATCGATATCTACGCGAACGTGCCGAGGTTCGCACACTTCCTCGCTATCCAACAATATGTTGTAAACTTTCATGTTGATGCCTCCCGTTTTGTACGTTTGCCATGGCGTTCCTAAAAATCGCAACTATTAATGCATGTAACTCAATTAAATAATTAAAGGACATTCGTGCTCGCTAGGCAATGACGTCACAAGCCAACGTGTTGCAACGTTGCCGGGTTGAAATGAAAATCTTGATGTGACAGATATATTTCATTTAAAGGTTATGTTAACTTTCATTGTTTAGAAATTAAAAAGAAAAAATGCATTAGGCTGCAATCCGATTGACGGGAGAGGTGTTTATTTGCAACGCTTCACAACCCTATAAAACAGAAATATTCATTTAAAAAACTCTTCGTAAGTTTAACATAACCTATAAATTTCAATGTGCTGAACTATCGAAAATATTGATAGGGAATTAATTGGGAAAAAAGGGCCTACATTGTCCCGTTCCCTCTCAAAATAGATCGAAAAACACCGAAAATCGCGAGAGAAACTGTCGATAAATGTAAATAAACCGCACGAAAAACTATCTAGAACGAACGAAAAACACAAAACCTACTCGTAAACTTGAAAAAATACAGGAAAATCGCGCAAAAACAACAAATTGTAGTCATAACCTGTCAAAGTGTCAACTACAAAGCGCCGCTAAATATTGCAAATGTTGAGACTAATACATGACAACATCGCCTTCGACTTTCAACTACGCATCGTTAAATTCCCCTAGTCAAATGGGAGAATTAACATTGACACTAGGGAAATGTCGAACTGCGTGGAAATTAATGACGTCATCTAAAAATGACGTCATTGCCTAGCGAGCGCGAATGTCCTTTAAAGTGAGCGTTTTAGGGGAATGTACAGGTCCGTACCGGGTTCTCTGATTTCCAACAGCCAATCGGATAGGTAGCCTCGCTTCTGCATCGTATTTAAAATATCACAGAATTTGGTTTCGTCAGATTCGAAGCTCGTATCGATGCACTCCTGTTTCTTGTTGAACACCACCAAGCGGCAATCTTCCAAATTGACGGGCGACAAATCGAGATTGAGCCGATGGTAGGCCTCTTGGGCGGCTTCGGCTAATGTCACATAGTGGAAGAACACGTATTTAGAGTCGTTTAGGGCGTTCGTGACCGGATGTTGGCAATAAATCTGCAAGAAAATTCACGTTTAAAGGCGAATTTAGAGTATCCTTTAACGAAAGGACAGGAGAGAAAGGTTTTTTTTTGCCATGCTGCTTCTAAATAATGGTTCTAAATAATTATGGAGGGTTCTACGATGGTTCTAGACAGTTCTAAATAATTCTGGAGGTTTCTGAATGATTGAAGGAGGGTTCTACGATGGTTCTAAACGAATTTGGAACGTTATAAATGATTATGGAGAGTTCTAAATAGCTCCAAATGATTCTGGAACGTTCCAAACGGTTTTAGACAGTTCTAAATAATTAAAAGGAAGGTTCTACGAAGGTTCTAAACGAATTTGAAGCGTTATAAATGACTATGGAGAGTTCTAAACAGCTCCAAATGATTCTGGAACGTTCTAAACAGTTTTAGACAGTTTTAAATGATTAAAGGAGGGTTTTACGAAGGTTCTAATCGAATTTGGAGCGTCATAAATGACTATGGAGAGTTCTAAACAGCTCCAAATGATTCTGGAACGTTCTAAACGGTTTTAGACAGTTCTAAATGATTAAAGGAGGGTTTTACGAAGGTTCTAAAAGAATTTGAAGCTTTATAAATGACTATGGAGAGTTCTAAACAGCTCCAAATGATTCTGGAACGTTCAAAACGGTTCTAGACAATTTTTAATGATAACGGAGGGTTCTATGATGGTGCTCGATAGTTCTAAACAATTCTGGAGCATTCTAAATGGCAGAAGAATGACAAAAAACTAACCACATTTTCATCTCGTTTAAAATTCAAATAAGCAATGTTGCCACGTTTAAAATTCAGAAAAATATAATCTATGGTTACAAAACCATTCGATTATATAAAAAAAAACTCCTGTCCGTCGACTTACAGTTAATCTAATCATATCGTTCTCCTTTTCCTTGTTGATCCTGTCCTCCTCCTCCTTCTTCCGCATATCGGCTAGCAATTTCTTGATGTGCGGCGGAAATTCCGAGTAGCTCATCGCCTTGGCGTTTTTCTCCTTGTCTATTTGCCTGTACATCAGCATGTAGGCGTTGGTGCTCGACGAATAGGCGCCCGAATAGTAGCCGCGCCTCGGACCGCCTCCGTACGTTTTCCTTATATCGTCCTCGGTGATCTACCGAGAAAATCAAAAAATAAATTCCAAAAATCGAAATAATCGTATACTCTATTTCCTAAATAGTAGGCACTAAATTCTCGGAAATATTGTCGCTTTTCTTATTTATTACATAATCCTTGCTCTTCTAATTATTAGTCTCCTGCTGATTTTCCCGTCAAACACACTTGTAGCCTACAATATTTTCCGTACGCCACTGGGAGAGACCCATTATCTCAATCATTTCTGAGAATTTAGTGCCTACTATTTTGGAATTAGTGTACAGCGTATTTGACGCGGATGTACTTACGCTGGTGACGCTCTGATCGTTGAAACAGAACCATTGGTTCTTATCGAAATCTTTAATGTACGCGTGGTAATGTCCACCGTTGGCGCTACCCGAGTGTATCATAATACTGAATAATTCGTACATGTAAGGACCTTTGGCGTCGTCGTCGTGGTTGTTCCTCGAACTAACATCGATACCTAAAAATATTTAGTAGTTAAAGGACATTCGCGCTCGCTAGGCAATGACGTCACGAGCCAACATGTTGCAACGTTGCCGGGTTGAAATGAAAATATTGATGTGACAGATATGTTTAATTTAAAGGTTATGTTTACTTTCATTGTTTAGAAATTAAAAAGAAGAAATGCATTAGGTTGCAACCGATTGACGGGAGAGGTGTTTATTTGCAACGCTTAACAACCCTATAAAACAGAAATATACATTTAAAAAAACTATTCGTAAGTTTAACATAACCTATAAATTTCAATGTGCTGAACTATCGAAAATATTGATCGGGAAAAAAGGGCCTACATCGTCCCGTTTCCTCCCAAAAATAGGTCAAAAAACACCGAAAATCGCGGGAGAAACTGTCGATAAATGTACATAAACTGCACGAAAAACTATCTAGAACGAACGAAAAACACAAAACCTACTCGTAAACTTGAAAAAATACAGGAAAATCGCGCAAAAACAACAAATTGTAGTCATAACCTGTCAAAGTGTCAACTACAAAGCGCCGCTAAATATTGCAAATGTTGAGACTAATACATGACAACATCGCTTTCGACTTTCAACTAGGCATCGTTAAATTCCCCTAGTCAAATGGGAGAATTAACATTGACACTAGGGAAATGTAGAACTGCGTGGAAATTATAGACGTCGTCTAAAAATGACGTCATTGCCTAGCGAGCGCGAATATCCTTTAATAGGCGCGATGCATTCAAATAAGTAGTACCCACCTTCATCGCTATCGGCGCAATTGTCGTCTTGCCCGTTAACGGTGGACGATACATCGGTGCCCTGGCAACTCTCGTCGTCGGCGGAGCCCGAATCGGTGGTGCTGCAATCGTCGCATTTCCCCGCCGTCTCTCTATCGCCGATACCATCGACATCGCTCGCCCCGTGCTCGGTTACAAACGAATTCAAATTCAACGTCTCCGAGAACACCACCTTGTCGTTCAACTTGATGCGGTGCATGGTGTTGTAGTCGAAATCGAACCGCTTCAAATGCAACGTCAACAAATAGGGGAACTTGGTGAATTTCAGCCCTTTGTGCGCGTCGCACTTCTTGTCGCATTTTTCGCAATGGTACCGATTGCTGCCGTCCAACGTTTCGGGCTGCACGAACGCCCGCAACGCCTCCTCGACGCTGTTGTAGGCGACGGCGTTGCCGAACGGCCGCACCGGCAACGGTATGTCCAGGAACGTGTCCTCGCGCGACTTCTCCGTGCCGCACTCCAAGCACTTGACGTAGTCCAACATCCTGCCCTCGTACAGCTCGTTGATCATGTTCGCCTGCTTGGTGTCTTTGAATTTCTGTTCGAGCGCGTCGAACATGACGCGGCAGAGCTCTTGGACGTCGTGCTGGTGCCAGGCGTCGCTGTTCTGCCAGCCGAAGCTGTAGGTCAGATCGGTGGTCTCGACGGCCGATCGCCAGGACGTTTGCAAGTTCAAAAATAACTTTTGCAATTGGTAGGGCGTCGAGCGCGACTCGTTGACGCCGTCGAACTCCCAATTGTAGAGGGCGTTGCGAAACTCCGGCGTCATGTAGAGCGTTTGGAGGAGGCTGTTCAAGTAGCAGGTCATCGCTTGGTTGACCAGTCCCACGTAATTCGTCGATTCTATTACGATGGGTTTGAGGTGTTCGCGCTTCACCGACGGGCACTTGATTTTCACGTCGTAATCCTGCAATGATAACGGTATAAATTTGAAGTAATAACGAATGGAACGGATGTAGTTACTTGGGAAGCATCGCTGGTGGAACCGGGAGCGTCCGCGACCTCTGTAGTGGGACTAGCGGAGGCGCCTAAAAGTAGATCGTCTTCGTTGCAGGGATCGAACAAAGTCATCGGTTTCACTTTGATTTGATTGATTACGATCGACAAACGATCTAAAGGCGTCCATTTGATACCGGCTTCTTGTACGGTTTTGTTTTTGAAATCGTTGAGGATTATCTGCAATAGGATTATATCGATATTTAATCGATATTAGTTATTTTGGTAGTTCTTACTGTCTCCTTTTTGCCGATCGATTGGAGGATCAGTTCAATCTCTTCTATCAAGTAATGGAATTCGTCCGATATCTCTTGGAAAATGCTATTGATGGTTTTCGATGGCGATAATTGTATAGTATATTGTTTTTTGCCGGATATTAGAATTGTGTCGCGTACAGTCGCACGTATCAACATGCCATCTTCTGGTAGACAAACCATCTTTTCTGTATAATTACAATTTAAAAAAATAAATAACAAATTGTTAGAAAACTTTCGAATTGTGCGTGTTGTTGTATTATGCCTAAAACAAACTATTTTTATTAAACGATAAACTATTATTAAATACTCGAATATTTTGATAACAAATAAGCGGTGTGATTATCGAATTATAAATATTTTTCAATGCGACGATTTAACCCAATTGATCCCGACTTCTTGTATTCGTCCGTTCACACTGCAAACTCTGTTATTTGGCCGGGATCCAAGAGTTAAATTTAGTAACAAACGTAGTAGACACATTGAATACAATTCGATTAAAAATAACTGCACGATTTAAGGGCAATTCAACTTCGTACTCACCGAATTTACTATGGAAATTTGCAATCTAAAATCCTTTCAGCCGAAACGTTCTTTAACTGGGTCCTGCAATGTGTTCAAAACGGTCATTATTATTGCGAAAAACCGCTGTCGCTGCTATGCGATTTGTACTGATAGTTGCGAAATTGCTTAAAATTGTCTTGTGTTTGCGATAAATGCACAATTAAAAATAATACAGATACTTTTGCTGTGTAATGACAGTACAAAAAAAATCTACAGACGTTCGCGAGTACCAAACGCGCCTCAAATAATAGATAACCGGATTAATGAGGGAACTGTTGTATCAAATGTAAGTAAATGAAAATTACAATTACTGTACGGAAAATATTATTTCTTACCGGAGAAAATTGACATGTGCTAAAAGTCACTAAACGCCATTTTCTTCAAATTGCGCATTTCACCACCGCCTTCGTTGACAAATAGGGCAGCACTGTCGGGCAGTATTTCAAACTTATTCGGTCTCTTACTGAACGCTTTTACAGCCACATAATAAAAAAAAGAAGAAACAAACATCATCGACATCTACCGAGTGATTTTAGAACGTCGAGTTAAAACGAAAATGGCGAAATACTTAATAACATGTCAATCAAGTAGTCGGCGTTTTGTATGAAAATTAAAAAAAAAATAAGAAAACAAACAATTTTCTCATCAAAACCAGCCCACTAGTGCGGTACTAATACACAAAAAGATTTTTTCGAAATGGAGGAAAGCGAAAAACTAGAAGAACCGTGCAGATTATGCGACGAAAACGCCGAGAAGTTGGTAAGCATCTTCGACAAGAACGAAGAAGGTGTCGAAATACTTCAAGTTATCAAGGATTGCATCCCGATTGTGGTAAGCGCGAAAACGCCAACTTTCACTTTTTCCTATTAAATATCCCGCCTTCTAGATTTACAGAACCGACCCGTTATCGAAAAACATTTGCGAATCGTGTTTGGAAAGCCTCTATTCGCTCAGCAGCTTCAAGAAGAATTGCGAAGAAATCGCCCACAAACAAAAAGAGAAACTCGGCGCAGTTCCTAATAAGAAACACCAAGCTTTTTTGGCTTGCGGCGAACGAACGGTAAACGATTTAACTGTTTCGATTTCATCGTACAAATTTATCTAACTCATTCGAATTACAGGATGAAATATCCGAACTACAAGACGCCTCCACGTCGACGGACGACATCAACACGTTCTGCAACAATTGCAAACAATCCATACTCGACGGTAACTTGATTAACGGCGAATTAGAATTGGCCATCGCCGAATCGCTGGCCAAAAACAAAATGCGCACCGAATCGGCGGAGAAATCCCTCAGAAGGCGTAAAGTCGTTCCGTTCTATCACGAACTAGACGATTCCCTGTGCAGCAGCCTAACCGAGTATACCCAAAATACCGAAGGATCTCAAATGTTCGAAGACAACAGGTAACTTCTACTCCTATTAAATCACACTTTAATTCACATTCGAAATGTTTTTTTAGTGATATAGATGGCTCCGACGATGACTCGGACGTAGCACACTCCCGTAAAAAACGCAGGATTATGTCAGACGAAGAAGACGCAGAAGACTCGGAAAGAAATGGTAGAAAAGACGGATCGATATCGAACCTACACGAATCGAAACCTCTAACCGACGAGGATTTCGCGCAATTATACCAACACGAAGAGTGCCACAGGTATCAACCGTTCTCGTTGCTTCAACTCGCTCTAAACGTCATCAACGTGGCCATCGTGCAGGACTACCAACCCGACGATTTCCTCCTGCAAACGGTAACGCCCGAATGCAGGCGATGCAATCGGAAATTCCGCAATCTGAAGGTCCTGTCGATACACGAGAAGCTCCACATGGAAGTGGAAGCAGGCGAGAAAATCGACAATCCTCTACCGTGGCACGATAGCAGAGAAAACGCCGACGTGAGGAACAAATGGTTGAATTATTTCGATGAAAATGGGTAAATTTATATCCTCTAATTATTGTAATTTCGTATTATTAATTTAATGCGTTGTAGATACGAAGATGATGATATTATAATCGATGATGTAGTGAGTACGAGTGTGTGTAATGACAATTTGTTAATACCGTTGGAAGAATGCAAAACCGACAGTTCCGGTAAATTAACGGGCGAAGAGAAATTAGTGTTAGTCGGCACCCAACCGATGGTAAACGGCGTGTATTTAGGCGACTATTCCAAAGACGAACGAAAGCTGCTCTATCAAACCATGAGGATACAAGGCGTCAATAAAAAATTCTGCCCTCTATGCAGGTTAATCCAATCCACCACCCCTCAAAAGCAATCGTACTCGTATCGCTAACGAATCTCTCCCAACAGGTACACGTTCAAAGACAACTGGGCGATAGAAAGCCACTATTTCTCGCTGGCCTGCTACTACACGTGCCGCTACTGCGGCATGCGCTTCAACAAGCAACGGCACAAGTTCAAAGAGCACGTCGACGAGCACGAGGCCAACAAGGACGATTTCTCCGAGAAGATATTCGCCGCCAACAAGCTGAGCAACGTCATACCGAAGGTGATCCATCCGCCTAAGCCGAGGCGGATCGTGGTGACCCAGCACAACCCGCCGCCCGAGATGGTGGCCGCCAACAATCAGTTCTTCAGCGGTCCCAGCGTGCACCAGCAGCAGATGGCTTACTCGCAACAGCCCAAACGGAGCTTCATGGAACGGAAGACTCTGCAGCCGAATTTGCAGAACGTCGTGATTAAGGAGGAACCGCAGGATAATAGAGTGCGTTGTTTTGTTAGATTTGCGGTACGTTTGTGATTGATTGTTGTGTTTTTTTTAGGAGATTCAAGCGTCGCAATCGAAGACCGGCAATCAGGCGTACTTCTGTCGGAAGTGTTACAAAGTGTTTTTCAAACTCGACGAGTTTAATATACACAGTAAAAATTGCGATTTCGCGCAATTCCCGCAAGCGCGGAACAACTCTACTACCGTCAATAAGGCGATATCCAAAAATGGAGACGTTTCGCCGGCGGGCCGGCCTATAAGAAACTGCGCCAAGGAAGTGGGGCCCTACAAAGACGATGTAACTATCTCCATTTTACTAATCCTAACGATTCGTATTAACTTTTTTTATACGCTGTGTTATTTGTAAGATGCGAGATAGGGATTCCTGTACAAATGTGTCAAAAGTAAGCTAAATTTTTTACCAAATAACGTTCGTAAAAAATTATGACAGATTTGAAAAGATCGTCAAAAAATATGTCGAAATGGACAGTAAATTTTCTTAAATTCTTTCTGGTTTATTTAAAAAATGTATAATTAAGTTGAAAAAATCATACGCCATAAATAATTCCTTTTTATAACACTATCTAATTTGTTGTAAAATGGGCGAAGCTAACAGAGATGGTTAACGCTCTGCAATTTGAATAATTAGTCTTGAAGTAATATGGTTCAAACCGCGCTTGGGCCAATTTTTTTTCTTTTTTTTTTCTTTTTTTTTAATGTTTTGGTCTAAAAAAATGTTAAATAAAAGTATTTACATTAAAACAAGCTTAATTGGGATAAAAATTTATTTTTATTTAAATAAATGTTCAAACAATTTTTATTGGGTTTCCTAAAAAATAAGGCTGCTGATAATATCAACCAAAGACAGAAGAGGAATTGAAAAATATTATTACTAACGAATGTCAAAAAATTAGTAGAACTAATAATGATTAGTAGAACTAATCGTAATTAATAATGTACGGCGGAACTTTTATCATCGTTTGGGACTGTTTAGCAGAAAATGGAAAACAATTTGAACATTTAATTAAATAAAAATAAATTTATATCCTAAATAAGCTTGTCTTATTTTAAATACTTTCATACATTTTTTTGGACAAAAACATTAAAAAACCAAAAAAAACTTTAGCCCAAGCGCGGTTTGAACCACATTACTTCAAAATTATTTTTTTAAATTGCAGAGCGTTAACCAACGTTAGCTTCGCCTCTTTTTCAACAAATTAGATAGTGTTATAAAAAGGAATTATTTATGGCGTATGATTTTTTCAACTTAATTATAAATTTTTTAATAAACCAGAACGAATTTAAGAAAATTTAATGTCCATTTCGACATGTTTTTTTACGATCTTTTCAAATCTGTCATTATTTTTTACGAACGTTATTTGGTAAAAAAGTTAACTTGCTTATGACACATTTGTACAGGAGTCCCTATCTCGCATCTTATAAATAACCAGTGATGTTAAAATTACTTTATAATATGTAATTAATTACAATTACAATTACTTTTGGCAATTTGTAATTAATTGCATTTACAATTACAAAATTTGCGAATGTAATTACAATTAATGTTACAATTACAATTACACTCACAATTACTTTGCTTTGGTGTCAGTTTTAAATAATTATTTAGGGATTTGCAATCGGAATTAAACTTTCCACGTATTGAAAATATTAAATAAGTACTTTTGTGTCCAATGTAATTGTAATCGTAACGAAAGGAGTAATTGAATTACAAATGAATTACAATTGAGGAGCTTGTAATTAATTACCGCCTCAATAACAACAAAAGTAATTCAATAACTTTTTCAATTACTTAACAACACTGTAAATAACACAGCGTATGTTACATCAGGTGTACCTGCCGGAGCACATAATGAAAGACCCGAAATCGCCGGCGCAACAATCGACCTTCGTGTGCTTCATCTGCAACACGCCGTTCCCGACGATCTACTCGCGCAACAGCCACATGCGCATCCACAAGGGCGAGACCCAGGGCCAGTTGACGTTGCACCAGCCGCCGCCGACGACGACGACGGTGAACAACCGCCGGCCTGCAAACAACCAGCTGAACTACCGCCAACCGCCGCCTCCTCAAAGCCACTATTTGGACGCTGTGGTCAAGCAGGAACCGCTCGACATGGAAACGATGGAGCCGATGGTGGAGATACACGAGCAGGAGCAGGAGCAGGAACAACAGACCGGTTTCCCGACGAGCCTCGGCGAAGGGGCCGTCAGTATCACGCCTATCGTGAAGAATCCCAAGCAGAAGGCGACCATCAACGCGAGCGTCATGAAAATCGTGCAGAGCAATCCGAATTTGTCGATCAAAAAGGCGCCCGAGAAGATCCAATCGTTCGCGCCTACGACGAGCTACGGCCAGATGCCGTTGGGGGTCGCTGTCGTAGCGCCGCCCGATCCCGACAGGTGATTTTTTTTGTTAACTATTTTAACTTTAACTTTAATTTTAACTTTTTTTGTTAACTATTTTATTACTGAGTAAAGGACATTCGCGCTCGCTAGCCAATAACGTCACAAGCCAACATGTTGCAACGTTGCCGGGTTGAAATGAAAATCTTGATGTGGCAAATATATTTAATTTAAGGTTATGTTTACTTTCATTGTTTAGAAATTAAAAAGAAGAAATGCATTAGGCTGCAATCCGATTGACGGGAGAGGTGTTTATTTGCAACGCTTCACGACCCTATAAAACAGAAATATACATTTAAAAAACTATTCGTAAGTTTAACATAACCTATAAATTTCAATGTGTTGAACTATCGAAAATATTGATAGGGAATTAATCGGGAAAAAAGGGCCTACATCGTCCCGTTCCCTCTCAAAATAGGTCGAAAAACACCGAAATCGCGAGAGAAACTGTCGATTAATGTACATTAACCGCAAGAAAAAGTATCTAGAACGAACGAAAAACACAAAACCTACTCGTAAACTCGAAAAAATACAGGAAAATCGCGCAAAAACAACAAATTGTAGTCATAACCTGTCAAAGTGTCAACTACAAAGCGCCGCTAAATATTGCAAATGTTGAGACTAATGCATGACAATATCGCCTTCGACTTTCAATTAGGCATCGTTAAATTCCCCTAGTCAAATGGGAGAATTAACATTGACACTAGGGAAATGTCGAACTGCTTGGAAATTAATGACGTCGTCTAAAAATGACGTCATTGCCTAGCGAGCGCGAATGTCCTTTATGCCCGATTTCACCAACCAGTTTCTAAAGTTAGGTAATACCTAAACCGGATTTAGGAATTCCTAACTACAATTTGCGTTTCACCATGCACTAAGTAATACCTAAAGGTAATAGGAAATGCCTAAAGTTAGGACAGCTCACTGGGCTTGCCTAAAACATTTAGGAAATACTTCACCATACTTTTTATGTGATTTCATGTGACTTAAGTCTTGACTATTCTTTAGACTCTTTAGATGAAAATTTAAAATGGGAGGAGAGTTTTTAGAAACTGGTCGAAACTGATTTTTTTTAGTCTTTTTCGATACATAAAAATACGGCATTACAAATATCAGAAAGAATTGAAGATGATTTTTAATTTGATACACAGGAAGTTTTTGGAACTATTGACCGTACACATGCATGTAAAGATCCATTGTCCTGGAGAAGATGTAGAAATATTTTACAAATCGGAAAGGTTATTTTTCTATTAATGTACAGACTACATCTTCAGCAGATTTAAAAATAACTAACATAGTTTTGAAGATGACCCGGATCATCAACATCTCTTCTTTTCTTTAAACATATTCAATTTCGATCTCCGCTTATTCGGTTTACACGTCAAAATTAGCCAATGCTACCAATAAAATTCAAAAAATTGTCAAAATCAAATTTTTACCTAGGTATTTCTTAGTAAGGTATTTCTAATGTTGGTGAAATTCGATTTAGGTAAGTATTCGATTTAAGTAATTCCTACCTTAGGAATTACCTATACTTCATCCATCGAACCAACGGAGTAACCAAAACAAGATTAGACGCGTGATCATCAAGCACATTCGCATTTATTGGGTAAAATAAAAAAGCCTCCTTATGCTGACCAATCACTGATGATCACGCGTTGATCCAGCGTCTAAACTTGTTTTAGTTACTCCATTGCTTGGATGGATGAAGTATAGTTAGGGAATACCTAACAACATGTTGGTGAAATCGGGCATTAGAATTTTAATGGTGCGAATTTTGTTGTAGATCGTACAAGTGCTCGTCGTGCTGGGAAGCGTTCGCGAACAAATCTCACCTGTACTTCCACAAGAAGAATCAGTGCGAGGGATCGAGGTTGCCTTGCCCGTTCTGCAAGAAACGGTTCGGGACCGAGGCCGAGTACAGTTCGCACATTTACTACAGCCACCCGGAGTAGGGATCGAATAGTGAAATTGATTTTTCTGATTTTTTAAAAAACGTGTCTTACATTGAAGCTTAAGATTCTATTGTAAATTTCGTGAGTTTGTGATAGGTTTTATTAGAAGGTGCCCACATTTCCAAGAAGAATCTCAGATTGATCGAATCGCTTCTCTCGTTCGCCGATTTTATTGGCTTTTTTTTGTTAATAGGCTCCAAGTGAATCGAGTACAGTAATAAAACCGTGGGAACATGTAATACAAAAAAACTAATATGAATATTATACACCTTGGTTCATTTTAGTTTGTAACATTTCTATGAGTTGAACTAAGAAAGGTAATTAAAACAAGAGTTGTTAGAGTGAAAAGTTGCACTCTATCCACAATTTCACTCTTTCTTTTTCCATTGTAAGTATCTAATGGAATTTATCTTTATCGCACCCATTGCAAACTAAAATGAATCAACCTGTATATTGTAATAATATCGGTTGCGAATTTGGTGTAGCACTTTTTGCAGGTTGTTCGAATTTTTTCCTTTGAATTCGAAAGTGCATTGTATAAGACAAAATTTTTAGAGTTTTTTTTTATCTTATTTATTTTGTAGGTGATTCCTTAATTATATATGGTATTATTATAATCCGGTATCATCTACGCTTATTTTTAATTGTAGTAGATATATTATTGGTACATTCGTAACACTAGTTTTTTTTGTACATACATTTACTTATTACGTGAATAAAACATATATTAAATATATTTGATCATTTTGATTTTGAAGTCGTAAATATTTCTAGTACGTCCCTGTTTCGAAATTTATACGTAATAAAATTCGCGCCAATTTAATTTATGTCACTTTCATTGATAAAATGTTAAACCCCGCCTATAATTAACCGGAAGTTTATAGTTTTTCGAACAACTTCCGGTGAAATAACATTAATGAATATTTTAAGAAATGTCAAAATTAAAAAAAAAAGAAGAAACGCGTCGTTTTGTAAGGGTTTCCAATGGAATGTCATTCATAAGAAAATACTATTTACTATAAAATAGTAAATTCTTTCGGTTTAGTAGTAAATTCTTTCTAATATAGTAAGTTCAATCAAAAAATTTACTAAAACATAACAAACGCATCAGGATTGCTGAGATTTACGGAAACAAATCAATCAAACAGTGGAAAATGGAAAGAATAGCAACAAAAAACATTCAAATTTAAATCTAAGTAAGTTTTCCCTCCTTTCCTCAACATATTCAGGTCATCTCCCAGTTAAAAGCTCAATTATCCCGCATGTTCCTCTATAGTCGTTTTGTTAGGTTAATAATCAATATTTTTAAATGTAGAGGGCGCTATAGCCCAGATATCTATGGGCTTACAGGGGTCCCATAAAACTGCTTTTAACGATGTACAAACTTTATTGTTGTATCCACAAGAAAAACACGTAATTATTATTGGAATAAACAAGAAAAATCATGAGTTGAGCATTGAGCGGTTCTTTTTGGCTCTGGTTGACAGATGACAGTTGACTTCGGATCTTCTTTTTTCTAACATTCAGTACGAACTGTCAACAGCTGTTTTCGGCGACTCACACGCCCTCTCGGGGCTAGCGGCAGAGTCGTTACCGGATCAGGTGGAGCAGGAACCGCCACATCCACTCCCCCTCCAGTGACTTGCGAGGGAGCTTGCGAAGAAGACGGCGAAGGAGGCTGCGAAGAAGACGGCGAAGGAGGTTGCGAAGGAGTAAGGAACGAAACCTTCTTGGCACGGGCGTATGTTCTCGTTGGCCTGTCGATATCCGTGGTGGGGTTGATCTGCGGAGTGATTTGCTCGTCTGATCGGTTGGAGTTGTCATCAGTCTTGGTAATGTAGGCGGGCTTCAGTAGACTGGTAGAAATTGCTTTATCCTCCCCCTTAATGCGGATGATAAATACTTTGTCGTTTAGACGCTTGATGATCTCATGCGGGCCTGAATAGGGGTGTTCAAGAGGCTTTCTAACAGCCTCGATTTTTCTGAAGACGTGGCTGCAGGTATTCAGGTCCTTTAGAATGAACAGTCTGGACTTCGTGTGGTGGGCTGTCGGGGTGGGTCTTAAGGTTCGAATGTGTTCTCGAAATTTTTCTAAAAAGAACTGTGGGTCCGCTTCGGTTTCCTCCGAAATAAAAAATTCGCCCGGTATACGTAATGGGGCACCGAATAGCATCTCCGCTGGAGAAGCCTTGAGGTCTTCTTTATAAGCTGTACGCAGTCCCAGGAGAGCGGTTGGCAGAAGGTCTGGCCACGGCGTTTGAGAATTACACATTAGAGCAGCTTTTAGCGCACGGTGCCAGCGTTCAATTAAGCCATTTGCTTGCGGATGATAAGGCGACGTATGAATTCTGTTTGCTCCAATTAACTTGGCAAGGGCCCTGAAAAGTGCGGATTCAAATTGGGTCCCTTGATCTGTGGTGATTGTGAGCGGAGTTCCATATTGACAAACCCATTGGTTGTAAAAAGCTGAAGCTACAGTGTCGGCGGATATGTTAGCGAGAGGAACAGCAGCGGGCCATCTACTGAAACGATCTATCATGGTTAAACAGTAACGTAGGCCTCCGACGGTCGGTAGTTCGATCAAGTCAAGATGAACATGATCGAAGCGATTATCTGGTACGTCGATGTGCATTGGGATAGTGCGGTTATGGCGATGTACTTTCGAACGTTGGCAGGCTATGCATTGCCTAGCCCAGAGAAGAGTGTCCTTTTTAATTCCTGGCCAGACGTACCTCTCTCTGATTTGTTTGACCGTAGATCTGCCACTTGGGTGAGATGAATCGTGAACGGTTTTAAAGGCTTCCTGCCTGAGGTTGGACGGAATAAATGGACGAATGCGGCCACTGGAAACGTCGCACAGTATAGTGTGACCATCAATTGTCAGTTTCTGTAAGGTAAGCGACGTGTTTTCCAGCAGATCGGCTAACTGGTCATCGTTCCGTTGAGCGTTGGCTATTGTTTCGGCATCTAGCTTTGTGGGCATATTTATTACATTAATTCGAGAAAGCGCGTCGGCTACTACATTTTCTTCTCCCTTAGTGTAAATAATTTCAGTCGTGAATTGCGAAATGTAGTCTAATTGTCTGAGCTGTCGCGGGGAGGCTTTATCAGCGCGTTGTAAAAATGCGTAGGTCAGCGGTTTGTGGTCCGTTTGAATGACAAAAGACCTACCTTCAAGTATATAGCGGAAGAATTTGATGGAGGCAAATATTGCCAGCAACTCCCTGTCATAGGTGCTATAGCGAGTTTCTGTCTGGCTAAGTTTTCTCGAAAAGAAGGCTATTGGTAACCACTCTCCGTCCTGAAGTTGTTCAACGGCTGCACCAATTGCCGTGTCAGACGCATCCGTCTTAAGCATCAAAGGCGAGTTTGGTGCCAAAAATGGAATTCTTACGGCCTCTATGATGCCACGCTTGCAAGCCTCTAGAGCTTCCTCGGCCTCTCCTGTCCAAGGGATCGGGCGTTTGTCTTTCTTTTTGGCGTCACTCAAAAAATTGGTTAGCGGGGCCTGGAGTTTCGCAGCCCCCTTGATAGACTTGCGATAATAGTTCATCAGTCCAAGGAAACGGCGTAGGTCATTGACGGTCGCAGGTTTTGGGAAATCAACAATGGCCCGGATTCTCTCCTCCGGTGGGCGGAAACCGTCTTTGCTCACCGTATGACCCAGGTATGCCACCTCTGTCCTGCCAAATTGGCATTTTGACGGGTTGATGGTCAGTCTGTTTGCTCGTAGAATAGAAAAAACGATAGAAAGGTGTTTGAGATGATCCTCATGCGAAACGGAATGCACTATCAAGTCATCAATATAGCAACCCACGAAATCCAAACCCCTAAAAAGGTTATCCATATGCCTCTGAAAGGTTTGTGTGGCGTTACGGAGACCCATCGGCATCCCCAGGAATTCAAAAAGTCCAAATGGGGTTGTTACGGCGGTTTTCGGTACGTCGTCTGGGTTCACAGGTATTTGATAGTAAGCCCGCACCAAATCAATAGTGGAGAAGATCTTGGAGCCATGGAGTCGCTGAAGAATATCCTCGCAGTGTGGAACTGGGTAGCGGTCTGGAACAGTAAGTGAGTTTAAGCTTCTATAATCCCCGGTGGTACGCCAGCCGCCAAGTTTCTTTGGTACCATATGAATCGGGCTGGCCCACTGGCTACTGGAGGGACGGATAATTCCATGGAGTAGTAACATGTCGAGGTCTTCTCTCGCTATTTTTAGTTTGTCGCCAGTTAGCCTGCGGAATCTTTCAAAAACTGGTGGTCCTTTTGTGATGATATGATGAGCCACAGAGCTATCTGCGCAGGTGGTGGGTGCAGCGTTAGGTCTAGTTATATCGATGTAGTCGTTCAGTAAATCTGTGTAAGGTTTGTATTCCACAGAAGAGGAATTAATTTGGTCGATTGTCGAAACACTATGTACTGCTGCCTGGAAAATTTGGCCCTTTGTGGTGAAAGAGGTGATCGGGTCTATGAGTCGACCACCCTTCAAGTCCAAGAGTAAGGCATGATAAGTGAGGAAATCCGCACCAATGATGGCAGATTGCACGTCAGCGATAATGAAGGACCATTTGAATGCCCGTCGTAAACCGAAGTCAAGAGTTAGTGTTTTTTGACCGTAAGTATGAATCGTTGTACCATTTGCAGCGTACAGAAGAACGTCATCCTGCTTTAGCCTTGTATTAAAAGATGATTTTGGAACCAATGATATCACCGACCCAGAATCAATAAGAAATCTCATATTCGTTTTTTTATCGTGGAGGTGAAGACGGTGTTCCTGTTTCAGGATGTTGTTATTGCTGTCGCCAACCGCCTGAATTGACGACAGCTTTTTTAGTTTTCCGGCTGAGGTTGCGGTACGAAGGAGCACGGTTGTGTACACATGTTGGCTCTCTCCTTGAATCTGCGGTGATAATAGCATATACGACTGGGAGCTGGTGATGCAGGTCTGGAGCTTGCACGGCTGTAACTGCGGCCTCTTTGATTCCGAAAGTCAGCACGTT